TGGACTAGATGACCCTCATGGTCCCTACAATTCTATGATTCTATGATTGGTCTGGCTGTGTATGCAGAGCCCATGAATCTATGCCTCTCTAATGCAGGCACTTCTGTAGGAAATACCTTAATGACTCACTGAATGATGATGCTTAAAGATCTAACTGTGCCTGCTGTCAGCTTGCACCCTTTTCCTGTGCTTCCCCAGAGGATGATTCAGCAGTAGGCCTGGCTAGCCTCCTTTCTGCAGATTTGTAGCGTGGGCCATATAGCAGCTCCTTTAAATGAAACTCTTAATTGCTACTACTTAGTGCATTCTCCGAAGAGATCATCAGACTGCAATGGGCAAACATTTTCTTTGCTTATGCCAAATTGCCTCCAAAGCTCTCCCCACCCAGTGGCAGAGCTAGCCGCTCGGGCACCCAGAGCAACGCACATGCCATGCACCTGGGGGGGGGCAAGTCACCCAGGGGGGCAATTGGCGTGGCCATCGGCACCCATTGGGGGCGATTGGCACAGTGATCGGCGCCCAGGGGGGTGATCAGTACAGCGATTGGCACCCAGGGGGCAGCGCAGCGATCTGCCCTGGGGGGACTTTGTCACCCCCCCTCTGGGATGACACCTGGTGCGGACCACCCCCTTTCCTACACCCCTGTCCCCACCCTCTCGTTCTGCCATTATCATCCAATATACCCCAGCCAGTGACCGGCTATGTGGACACAATGAAAAACCAGATATTCAAAAGTATCGCAGCAAAACTTTTGATAGGGTTGGGGAACAAGGCACAGAAGGAGGGACAAAACAGCTTTAGACCTAGGAGAAAGGTGCCTCAGAGGGAATAGGATATAGAGGATTATAACAGGAATGATAAAAGTGTGGGGAAGATGGAGCTTTCTCTTTCTCCCAATAACCCAGTGATGTTAACTGATACAGTCGTACCTTTTAAGTTGAATGGAATCCATTCCGGAAGTCCGTTTGACTTCCAAAACATTTGGAAACCAAAATGCGGCTTCTGATTGGCTGCAGGAAGCTCCTGATCCAGTAAACAACAGTTGGATTCCATGTCTGTTCTGGCAGGGCTCTTTTTCTGTTAACGCTGCCATCCTGTCTGAAGGTCTGCTGTTCTTTTAAAAATTAAGGCTTAAATGACTGCTAGGGGTGGGAAGGAAATCTGATTCACTTCAGACTTAAAGGCGAATCTATCAGTTTTTCACTTTCCGAAACAATACGAATCGCCGCCATCTTTCAAAATTCCAAATTTTGTGATGCAGTTCCATTTTATCTTGCTCTGCTTATGATTCAGTACACAGTATCACTTTTCTCTTTTTTGCCATTGTTTTATTAAAATGCCCTTTCTGTAAAACTTTGTGGCCTAGTGAATAGTGTGGTGTAGTGGTTAGACCATTGGACTAAAACTGCAGAGACCCAGGTTCAAATGCCCACTAAGCCATGAATCTGCATGGGCAGAGGCAGTTTTAGGGTAGTATGACTGGTTTGGCTGCACTGGGTGCCGTGCTGCAGGGGGCACCTCAAGAATGCTGTACAGTGGAGTGCAAGGGCGGGATTTTAGTGTTGCACAGGGCACCACTAAAATTTGGAGAAGGGCCACAAATTAGTGGTAGAGCACACATGGTAGATTTTTGCATGCAAAAGGTCCCAGGTTCAATCCTTAGCACTGCCAAGTAGGGCTGGGGGAAAAGACTCGTGTAAAATCCTAGAGAACCAAACCCAAGAGATCTGTTGCCAGTCAGTGTTGGCACTAGTGAGCGAGATAGACCAACTGCAACCAAGCCTAAGTAGCGTCACAACATTTGCTCATGTTCTTGTCTCAACCTTCCTTTTCTTTCCTTGTCAAAATTAAGTTTATATGCACATGGGGAGCAGAGATCTCTCTATTGTCTCTACCCTGTGAAGTGTCGTGCATGTACACAGTGGCAAAATATAGAGCACATAGCTGCTCCTCCACTGAGATGGCTGAGCAGCTCCCAGCTGATAATGGCGTTTGCGTATTTGCGTGTGTGTGTTTTCCATGCTCAGCCAGTGTTAATATTTTGTGCTCTGCCAGATATAATGCTAAACCACTAGCACTCCTCTAACAATTGCTCCAAACTAATGAAAGGTTTTCCTTCGCAGCAAAGGGCAACAGACATTTCCCTGTTCCACTGCTTCCGTATCAGATAATTACCTCGTGAACTGTTGACATATGTAGGATGAAGCCTTGGTGCTAAATTTGCCAACGCACTTCAAAAAGATGGCTATCCTTTTGTGCAAGATCCTTGGTGAGCAGCTTCAAGGACTTCAGCACACAATTGCTCATTTTCTCACATGCTCACATAAGATGTTGGGGTCGTGTCCTTCCAAACATTTCAGCACATAGCCAACTAGATACAAATTGGCCTGCCTCACACAACACAGTTAAGCCACACGATGATTTGCTTGGACTCTGAGAACATGCAGGCTCCCAGAGAGGAGCTCATAACCACTGGTCCTTTTTGCTCCCATGCCACACTAAGCTAAGTCAAGGTTTGGCCTAGCTCAGAGCAGAATTCAGTGTTACATCCATAAGGAAACCTGGACAGTTGCTTGGAACCAGCTGACTGGAACTCCCCGGGGAGAAAAGCAACCTTGGGAGGGCAAGAGTCGTAGAAGGAAATTGATAGGTAGAGAAAGGGTTAAATATTCCCTCCCTCTAACATTTGCCTGCTCTAAATTTCCCCCTCCTGAGGTGGCTTTGCACATACCCTCCAACAATTTGGGAAGGCAAATTGGGACCCCCGCCCACCCCCATCATTTGCTCGCTCGCTCACTTGTAGGTTGCCACTGCCTGCCCACCCACTCCCTTCCTCCCTTGCCCCTCTCCCCCCCATTGCACTTTCTCCCACCAATGCCATCACTGGCACAACCTCCTCTGAAGTCACTGGCTCCTCCACTGCCAGTACCACAGAAATACTTCTGGAAGCCAGTTCCAGAAGTGCTGGCTTCCAGAAGTGCCACAGCAAGAGAAGGAAGAAAAGTGCTGATGGGGGGGGGGGAGGAGCAAGGTAGGTTTTGCTTCTGTCTCCCCCCCCAAAAAAAAATTATTCATTTTATAACACAAATAAACAACACAAACAGAAAAACAAACAGTACAAACAAATTCTTGTCTTGTCCTTATTTTTTCTAAACATTGTTAGGTGAGCTTCCCCAAGCCCCCCCATCTGATTTTCATTTTACCTCATCTTTAGCAGTTTACATATATTATAATTTTTAACCATTTTCTTTCATCACACTAACTTTTACCATAAAAATCTTCACATATTACCCCTTACAAATAATACTATTTTAAAATACACTATCTTCTACTTCTAACCCTACAGCCTATATCCGCTTCCAAAGCTTTTCTAAGATTTAAATATTAACATATTTTTTCAAATATTCTTTAAACTTCTTCCAATCTTCTTCCACCACCTCTTCTCTCTGGTCCCAGAGTCTCTCAGTCAGTTCGGCAAGTTCCATTTGCTTCCGTCTTTTGGTTCCACACTCTGGTGTGAGCCAACTGACTCACGCCACAGAGCGGGACAAAAAAAGACAGGTGTGTCTTTTGGACTCATGCTCTGGAGCAGCCAGAACCCAGGATGTTCCGCTTAAAACAGGACACTTGTGTGGTGTGCATCTAACTGTTGAGCTGCTTGCTTCCCACTCAGCTATCAGCCTCACACCCCAAAAAGCCGCCAGACAATTAGGCTGTTCCTATTTCTTTGCAGCTGATGGCAATATAATTGTCCTTGGCTAGTGAGAGTAGCAAAGGGAAGGGCCCTTTTGACCCAGGAAGGCTCACTGATGCCAAGCAAACCCCCAGAAGTGATGTAGTGTTTGTTGAATGTGGTGTTTGGCGTGAACAGAAATCCTGGGATACGCTGCAAAATAGATCCTAACCAAAGATCAAGTGGAGATGCTGAGAAGAGGAGAGGAAGGAATGTGCAGTCTCCACTGCGCAAGCCGCTGCGAGAGGAAAATGGGTTTAAAAGTAAAGATTGGGAATGAGAGCCTGTGTGAAACTCTGAGCCAGTATGAAAGAAGCCACAATACTCTGCGTGGGATGGAAACAAAGGCACACAGGTTAATGGTGGGAGAGAGCGAAAAAGTGAGCCTGTGGGGCAGTCACACTGAATGTGTGGGTAAGCTGAGCAGAAGGCAGAGAGACAATACAAATGTGAGATGGATTTGCAGGTGGTTTGTTGCTTTGCAAGTATTTTTCTTTTTTTTGTCCTTACCTTCTTTTGTGCCTTTCTGCAATAAATAAACTTCTGAGGCCTTAATCTTGTCAAAGCAATTGCTGCACGCAAGAAGCCAATTCAGTAAGACATGCCTGTAGATACAGCTGCTTTCTGGCTCCCCACCCCCACCCGCCACCCTGTTTTCTGAAAAAAACTCACATTTCTTCATTGTTTTAAGTAGCTGGGACACATTTTCATTTATCAGCCTCATATCCAGAATCATCTTCAACAGTTCTGCATTTCATTTAGAAGGCAGTATTTGGTGCAGAACATAGTACAAAATGAAGATTGCGGAGCTTTCAGCTCTTGCAATTTTTTCCCCCTTTACAGTTAGGTAGATGTGACAGGCACAGGAGCCCCGAGAGAGCAAAAAGTTGGCAACTCAAGTAGAGAGCTGGCCCTGTCCCAGCCCCTTTCAGCCTCCTCCTCCTGGGGCTCTTCCCTCCCTCTAGTAACTGCTTCTTTCCCCTCAGCCACTCTGTCCTTTTGTGACATCAGAGCCAGTCTATAGCTGATAGCGACAGCTAAGGAGGCATCAGCACAACCTCCCTTGGCCTGACCATTGTGGGGGCACCTCAGTAGTGGTTTATTATAAAAAATATTTACAGCCCACCCTTCATGTGTGCTGATTTGGGGGGGGCAGGGGGTCACACCATAAGCTCAGGTATTTGACCTTCCATTACCTGTCTGAAGAAAAAGATAGAAGAGACATGAAAGGTATATATATTCGGAAAAAGCATTTATATAGAAATATAAGCTGGCTTGTATTTAAGCCCTGCAATTCTCTTCATTGCTTTCAGCAGGGGTGGGGGGTGGGGGTTCAGATAGCCCTATGGTTGCTTTCATGCATGGTCTTGGGAAAACTTCATTACCTTCAGATATTCCTGGAATCAAAAAGCAAAAAAAAAAACAGATAGTGAGGGCGATAGCTACCATCCAACAGCATCATCCAAGCACCACCACTGACTTCTGCCTGGTGACTTCACTAACTTCATCCTTCCAACTTCCACGGGTTTTGTCTATTCATAATCAGTTTCCTTTCACACCTCTCATCCATGCACATGCACCTACCATTTGCCTCCACCACATTCAAAACTTCCCATTCATGCGCTCAAGCATTTGCCAGCCAATATCCAAGAAGAATGCCAATGGACACATTCACTCCTCTTTCCCTGCCCGTTCATTCACACCCCACCTTCAACTCTCAAATATCCGCCAGCTCCTGCCAGCTGGCTTACAAAGGTGAATTTCAATCCGCTTCCGCCCACAAACACCAGCCTGCTTCAGCCTTAAAACACCCACCGGCTTCTGAATGCAAATTCCACCAGCTTCCACCCACCAATGTCTGCCAACTTCTGCTAGGGCCACCACTAGACATCAGCCAGCTTCCAGCCATGGATATCAGATACCTTCAAGCCACGATCCCGCTCTGCAAGCAAACTTGCCTTGTTGTTGCTCTAAAGCATCCCACAGCCCCATGATCACCTCCGTCCATCTGTCAGTTTGCCTCCTCCAAGTGGAAGGAGACTGCATGGTGCTGAATGCCACAGCTGTTGCCTCTGTGGAAGAGGGAAAGGCCTACCTTTCTATCCACTCAGCTGCCATGTATTTTTGTGACGTCACAGGTAGTCTGTAACCAATGGCAACAGCCGGGGAGGCATAATCTCCTCAGGCCTCACAATTGTGAGTACAACTCAGCAGTGATTTATTTGTGTTCTTGTTTATTATTTAAAAATATGTAGACCAACCTTCATGTGTACTGCTAGCAGGCACGCCATAAAACCATCCTACCCAGGGCTGCATGCCAGTGGTAAGTGGGAGGCAGAGGCAGAGGGGAATAGAACAGTCAATGTGACTCCCGTCTTTGTACAGCTATGCAAAAGTCAGAGGTCTTTAGTGGCCCCCTTTAAATCCACTTAAGCAAGAATGTTCAAGGAAACATTCCAACCAGGCAAAATCACTTGAGTGTGTAGTGTACAGCTGGAGAGGAGTATGACCTGGAGAGAGTCCACTGTTGTTGTTTAGTCGTTTAGTCGTGTCCGACTCTTCGTGACCCCATGGACCAGAGCACGCCAGGCACTCCTGTCTTCCACTGCCTCCTGCAGTTTGGTCAAACTCATGCTGGTAGCTTCGAGAACACTGTCCAACCATCTCGTCCTCTGTCATCCCCTTCTCCTTGTGCCCTCCATCTTTCCCAACATCAGGGTCTTTTCCAGGGAGTTTTCTCTTCTCATGAGTCCACTAGGCTGCATTTAACTCATGGGCTGGACGTTCCCCCACCCCTTTCATGAAACCCAAGGGTTTTATTCAGCATTAGCTATATTCAGAGTAGACCTAATGAATCAGTAGATATGGTAACTCAAATCCATTGATTTTGAGAGGCCTACTCAATGAAGTATTTGAATATTACTCCAATTATTAAAGACGTAAAAAGCTGAACAGAGGAGAAGGCTAAAATACTAGCTTCACACTTTGTTTTATTTTTAGAAAACAACCTTAAAAGCTTGAGGGCACTTAGAGGGCTAATACCTTCACAGCACTGATAGTCATCCTTAAAACAATATTTTAACTGTGTGGTGTGTGAAGAAATGCATGTTTCTGTCTATTGTGAACCTCCCACTATTCAGTCTCATCTGCAGGGGCATGCCTGTGTCAGAAAGGAGTGATAGCTCATTTAAGATGGTGCTTGCTTTCTGTACTTGTACATGTTTTAAAAGTATTAATTTTTTTAACAAACAAACAAACCCTGCCATCTGATTGAATCATAGAATCATAGAATCATAGAATTATAGAGTTGGAAGAGACCACAAGGGCCATCAAGTCCAACCCCCTGCCAAGCAGGAAACACCATCAGAGCACTCCTGACATATGGTTGTCAAGCCTCTGCTTAAAGACCTCCAAAGAAGGAGACTCCACCACACTCCTTGGCAGCAAATTCCACTGTCGAACAGCTCTTACTGTCAGGAAGTTCTTCCTAATGTTTAGGTGGAATCTTCTTTCTTGTAGTTTGGATCCATTGCTCCGTGTCCGCTTCTCTGGAGCAGCAGAAAGCAACCTTTCTCCTTCCTCTATGTGACATCCTTTTATATATTTGAACATGGCTATCATATCACCCCTTAACCTCCTCTTCCCCAGGCTAAACATGCCCAGCTCCCTTAGCCGTTCCTCATAAGGCATCGTTTCCAGGCCTTTGACCATTTTGGTTGCCCTCCTCTGGACACGTTCCAGTTTGTCAGTGTCCTTCTTGAACTGTGGTGCCCAGAACTGGACACAGTACTCCAGGTGAGGTCTGACCAGAGCAGAATACAGTGGCACTATTACTTCCCTTGATCTAGATGCTATACTCCTATTGATGCAGCCCAGAATTGCATTGGCTTTTTAGCTGCCGCGTCACACTGTTGGCTCATGTCAAGTTTGTGGTCAACCAAGACTCCTAGATCCTTTTCACATGTACTGCTCTCAAGCCAGGTGTCACCCATCTTGTATTTGTGCCTCTCATTTTTTTTTGCCCAAGTGCAATACTTTACATTTCTCCCTGTTAAAATTCATCTTGTTTGTTTTTGCCCAGTTCTCTAATCTGTCAAGGTTGTTTTGAAGTGTGATCCTATCCTCTGGGGTGTTAGCCATCCCTCCCAATTTTTTATTTGTTTATTTCACAAAATTTATTTACCGCTTGATTGCAATAAAACCTCCAGGTGGCTTACAAGATAAACCTCTAAGCAGCTTACAAGAAACAAGATCGGTCTTATTTTCTTACGTTGTGTAAACCATGTAACCTATTGCGACTCTAAAGTCAGATTTATTGTGGGGCAGAAGGGAGATCAAAGCAAATGGCTAAAGAGCCCTTTAACTTTGCTCCTTATCACTGCATTTCAAATACATGATTGCCCTCTGCTGGAAGGATTTTTAAAAGTTCTCCTTTTAAAATCACATCTATTGGTTCAGTAAAAAATCAAAGAAAGAAAGAACTTGTACATTTGGGCATTCTGATGCGAATAAAAAGTATGCAGGTGTACAAGATGGTTCCCATATATGCATATTTGTGTATGTGCCAGATGTTCACATCTGAACATGCCTGATACTGCTGGCTTTAAGTGGTGGGTCCACTACAGCAGCAAAATGGTTAAAGAGGTGAAGCTTTGCCATGTCTGAGGAACAGAGTTCAATCTATATAACTTGTCACTAACCACCTTGAGCAAATTTGGAAAATGGGGTTGCAGCCATTGAAAACAAATATACACAAGGGCTTTCCTATGTGATCAACTGAAGTGCATGCCAAATGCATTTTTTCCTGATTGGCAGAATGTCCTCACAACCCTGCTCAGAGAATGCATTGCCACTGTAAACAGATAAAAGGGCGTATGCAACTTAGGCAACAAGCCAAAGGCACAGCCTTATTTTCCTTTCTCTTTTTTTAAGCACGACAGTAGGCAGGCAGGCACCTCTTTGTGCTATGTTCAGTACATTTGCTATAGTGATGCTGAACAATTTCCCTAGTCTTCACCTTAGGACTTGTCAGCTTCAGAGCTGGTGTTGTACAGCACAGGAGCACACTGCCTCCAAATAATTTGTAAGGTGGCTAAAAGAAAGAGTCATATAACACAGCATAAGAAAGCCTTGGTGAAGTGAGGACATTGGGCAGAGTACAGTGGCTGCTTCAGGCAGGTTGTTTCAGGAGTCATGAAAGAGCCATGGAGATTTGCTCATTCTTCTTGTATTTTTACTTCCAGGTAAAGGGGAAAGTGCTTGTGGGATTGTCTACCTCTGGTCCCAAAATAGCTCGGCTTGCCTTGAGTTCTAAGCATCATAATGGGATGGGAGTGCCTTTTGCTGTTCCACCTCAGGCAGCAAAATGTCTTGGGCAGCCCTTGGCACCAGCCACATGTCATATGATAACCGTAAGGGCAGCCACATTCCACAAAGCAGCAAAGCAAACTTGGATGACTTTAAAAGCGGATTCATAGAGGATATTCTATCAAAGGCTGCAAGTCATGGTGGCTGTTGTCAGGAGTGCCTGCAGGAGCCAGGCCCTGTGACCAGTAGGGCTTCGCAGGACTGGGGCCTTCCTAAGTTTATTCTGGAGAGGCAAGGCGTGACTGCACAGGTGAGGCCGTTTGGTAACTCACTGCACCTGGTGGCAAGAGCCAGGAAGGGATATAAGGTCAGCATTTCCCTTCAGCTCTTTGCCACAGCAACACGCTTCCTGCCTTGTTGCGTTTGGCTTCTTGCTTCCTGATCCTCGGACCTCGGCTTAGTGACTCCTTGCTTCTCGACCCTTGGACCCTTGACTTCGTGACTTCTTGCTTCTCAATCCTTGGACCCTTGACATTGTGACTCCCTGCTTTCTGACCCTCAAACCCCTGGTTTCTGGACTCTCGTTCCTGCTCCCACCCTGCCATCTTGCCCCCGGTCCCAACGTCCTCAGCCGAGACTTCAATCGCCTGTAGACTGGACCATGACAGCTGTGTTCTGACTCCAGTATCGCATACCAGTTGCTGAGTGCAGAGAGTGCTATTCTGCTCATGATCTTCTTCCAGGATTCCCATAGGCATCTGGTTAGCCATTGTGGCAAGCAAATATGGGACAAGATAGGCCTTTGGTCTAATCCAGCAGAACTCTTATGTTCTTAAGACAGCATTATCTAATCAAAGGCTTACTTTCCCCCGCAGCAACAAAATATTCTCATTCAAGTTCTCTGAGAGTCACAGTTTAAACATCGCGACATCCCCACACCCCACTAGCCAAAAAACAAGATGTCTCATCTCACTGCCATTTAACAATCAAGTTCTGAAACTGTTGGAGGGCACATTCTTTTTTTTTAAAAAAAGACCAGTTATTCAAGCAGGAACATGCAAATTTGTTCTGAATGTGTATTTGTAATTATTGTGATTGCAGACAAAGCTATGTTATTCCAAGTGCAAATGACCAATTAAGTCCATAATTGGCCCTTTGCATGTGAACTGCTTAACTCGAGAGCAAAGCAGTAGTAACTGTGCATGCAAATCAAGCAATCCACTGTGACGGGCTACGTTTAAAGCTCAGGCCTTCTTCCATGGTGGAAAATTACAAAGCAATGATAGTTCTGTAAGGAGGACTTCATGGGAGTTAAATCATCTCTATAAATACATATTCTAATATGCCACTATATTCCTCAATAAGGAAATAGAATCTACCATAGAGCAGATTGGATTCTCAGTGGCTAGAATCAGGGAGAAGGGAACTAACCCCACCCTGTGCACACACACAGACTGCCGATCCTAATAGTGCCCCCAACTGAACCCATTTACCTTTCCCCCATTTGACTGGATGGTTTCAGTCTTAGGAGACGAATATAAAACACTGCAGTGGGAGGCCAAAATCTACCTTCTACCCCCTCCCCCCATATTTGATAACCTGGTCCAAATTTATGGAATTTTTGCAATGAGGGTGCAATGTGTCTGTCTCATGTGCAGAGGAATTATATACTTTCTGCTGTATGCTTGGAGTGCTACACATAGTAGTAGGTTAGATGTTTTTCATATCACTCTGTTGTGATGCTCACTGTAAAGTGAAGAACCTTACAGGAAAAGGGTATTCCAGCACCTCAGAGGGCAGCATCTGAGCCAGTCAGTCTGATTGCCAGTTATGCCGAGGCCACATTGTGCTTTTCTGGCAAGGTAAAGAGAAGTTGGCCCTCTCCCATCCCAAGAGTATTTCCTGAACAGATGTCGTCAACATTTGCTATGGCATTAGGCCTAGACTTGTCTGGCAAGCAAGTCTGACTTGGACAGTTCAAGTTTGTGCTGTTTGCTACCTGCCATGAAACTCTAAACCAGTGACAACTCTCGTGGGTGGCCCAAGTGGGATCTGTCAAGCCTCAGCTTCTCCATCAACCCCTCCTGCCGGATGAGAAGCAGTCAGAATGTTATTGAGACTAGCGAGCAACATTTCATTTCCACAATGCTGATAGGTTTTTATTATTATTATTTCGTTTATTTATTCAAAGGATTTATAGCCTTTCTTTTGAGAATGTGCTCCACAAAGTGGCAGGCAACATATCTGAAGATATAAACTTAATAAATCATCATCATCTATGAAAATATTAAACCCAAAACAAGCACAGAGATAAAAATAAAATTTAAAAAATCCACCAGACCCTTGTGTAACACCTCCTATTTATATTAATCATTAAATGTCATCAACAAAAAATGAGTCTTCAAAGCCCACTAAAGGGACATAAATATTTAATTTCAGAGGAACGGAGTTGCGGGGTCACCAAAGAGAAGGCCCTGCAATGAATGTTCACTTTTATTTATTTGTTTACTGTATTTATTGCACTTATATACAGTACTGTCTTCCTGCCAAGACGCTTAAGCAAGCCATCTGACATGGATCTCAGCATAATTTTTGAATCTGAAAAAATATCTGCTCCCTCAGGCGGTTGAGTGAAGTTGCTGGTTTCCCCCGCAGCCCTCCTTTGTGCTACCTTCCATACTCTTCTGGAGGGTCTCCCACCCTCTGGAGCAGACTTTTTTCAAGGGTGCGGGTAGTCTGCAGCAGGGAAGAGGAATTGCAAAAAGCCACTTCCCCTTCTCTTAGGTTTGTGGACATCTCCTTTGGATTAAAAGCAATTCCATAAATAGGACAGGTAGCTACGTAATATTCCCCCCCAAGGCTTTTCTGCTTATCCTCAAATGCCAGCAAGTACTCGTCTGTAGATGTTCAAAACACTAAAAATCATTAGAAAAGTTTAAAATCTTGTTTGGGTGCATTTTCTAGGAAAGACCAGTATTTCACGACTCCTTCTAGACCTCTCCTTGCCGTGTGTTTTTATTTATTTTTAATGTATTTGCTGCCTCATCAAAAGTTGATAAGGTAGACTATATTTCCTAGTTTAACGTATTCAATTTTTACAATATACTAGTATGACACTCTCTCACACAAAAGCCAGCTGCCTTACTTCCTACTACGGAGAAAATTGTGGGAAATTCACAGGAGGGAAATTCTCATATAGAAGGTAAAAATCAGAAAGCAGAACAGAAATTGTAGCTCATTTCCTCCCTGTTACAAAAGAAGAGCCTGCTGGATCAGGCCAATGGCCAATCTAGTACAGTGGTACCTCAGGTTACAGACACTTCAGGCTACAGACGCTTCAGGTTACAGACTCCACTAACCCAGAAATAGTACCTCGGGTTAAGAACTTTGTTTCAGGATGAGAACAGAAATCGTGCTCCAGCAGCGTGGCGGCAGCAGCGGGAGGCCCCATTAGCTAAAGTGGTACCTCAGGTTAAGAACGGACCTCCAGAACGAATTAAGTTCTTAACCTGAGGTACCACTGTATAGGATCCTGTTCTCACAGGGGCCTATGGAAAACCGACAAGCAGGACCCAAGCAGACGAGCACTCACCTGTGGTTTCTGGTGTTCAGAAGCCTTTTGCCTCTGACTGCTGAGACCTTGTTACCTTTCCCAGATATATTATTATAAGAAAGCACAAATCAGTGAAATAATGGACACAGTGTAAGATCAAAGAAAGTGTTGCTCAAGGGAGTTGCTTGGTTACTCCAAAACCATATTTTTCTCACATATAATGGGAATTACTTGAGAATCCACCTTTTAAACTGAAATACTGCACATAATGCATGATGGACTTTGCAGCTTCCTCCACCCTCTTGTGTAAAGTCAATTTGGAATGCAGTTTTCTATCCTGTTTCCTCAATTTTCAGGCCAGATTGGGAGATTGGCTCATGATGGTAGTCATCTTACATTTCCTCCAGAACTGAAAGATAACAATTTACTGACACCTGGACCTTGACAGTATCCTGCTTCTGAAAATCAAAGCTCAGCTCACAAGGCAGATCTGCAAACATATCCCCCCCCCAAAAAAGTGCTATGGGGCAGCCTCCCCACAGAATCATTAGCCCTGGCACCAGATTCCAAAGGATCCAGAATTTGAAACAGCCCTGGCAGTGTAACATCACCTTGGCTTAACTGAACTCTATTTATTTTTTCATACGAATAGAATATTCTGAACTCTGCTCAGTTTCCTAGCATCGTCAGAAGCACAAATAAACAATTCACTTCACATTAGTTTTATATCAATTCATATTTAAGGACTGAATCAGCTGCCAGGCGACTGACTTGAGAACACTGTAGCGGCAATTCATATATACAGAGCACAAATATAACAGAAAGGAACAATGTCAGCTCACATTAACAATAGGAACGACCCAATGATCCTAATTTAAACATATATGTTAATATAAGCAGTCCATATGTCCAAATACATAACCAACTGAGGCTGGCAATGGTAAGATGTATGTATTGCATTTGCAAATCTTTAACTTGATATCTGATGGCTACAGCCCCTTTCCCTAATATAGAAGAAAGGGGGTTGCCAGCTTTGGACCTTTAGAGCAACTGGATCTGCAACCATTAGCAGATTATTACATTTGCTTCTACACTAGCCATTTTCTTTGGAATTTGCCATCCTTTGATTGCTCACTTGCTTTGAAGACTCCAGATGATGAGACTGCCAAGCTATTGCAGTCTGGTGTTTCCTGCGTGTTTTCCTCCCTCTTTCCCTAGACCTAGTTCGTGGCTATGTTTTTTTTCTGGCTTTAAATGCAGTGCATTCAAAATAATTTTCCTCAGTGTCTCAGAGCAATGCGTCAGATATTGGGAGTGTTTAAATGGTGGGTCATAGCTGCTCACTGCCAGCCTGTGCTAGCGCACCCTCCAACATTTCTCTGATGAAAATAGGAAACTACATCAGGAAACTTCTCCCACATTTGAACCCTGTCGCACGCATAGACATCATATACACATTGGACACCTTGAGCCAATTGCAACCTCTCTGCCAAACGTACCTCACAGAATTGTTGTAAAGGAAAAATGTGTGAGGGAAGGGATTGTGTGCAACACCTTCCACAGATAAATGGAATGAAATAAGATTTTAGCTGTAAGCTGCCTTGAGTCCCTGTCAGGGAAAAAGGAAGGAAATAATAATAATAATAATAATAATAATAATAATAATAATAATATATTTGCAACAACAACTGTGAGAATGAACAGGAACATACTAGAGAGCAACTCCTATTGAACTCAGTGGGACTTAGTTCTGAGTAAAAATGTTTAGGATTGCAGTATAAGAGTGCCCAGTCTTGGCCCAGTTACCTGGAAGTACGTTCCATTGAATACATTGGGACTTACTTACGAGTAGACAGTGTAAGGCTCCATTTACAATAAAGGAATAAACACTCCATGCGTTTCCTTTAAAAATGGCTGGCTGCATTGCAATTATAGAATTTAAAGTGGATTGGTGACATTTTCCTTCGAAATTTATAGGAAGGGCTTTGTGTGCCAGCTTCACCATTTCCTTCAGCTGTTTTATTTTCAGGATAAATATGACTCCATTTTTGTACTTGAAAAACACACACACACACACACACACACACACACCATTTTTCATTGTTCTCTGAGACATGGGGGGGGGGGGAGGAAAACCTGGACATTCTGGGATCAAATCAGAAACCAGGATGGCTTCTGTAATTCTGGGTCTGTCCCTGGAAAATAGGGGCACTTGGAAGGTATGTGCTAGTGGACTTTGGTGTGGGCTGTGGCCCTTTCAGCTGCCCTAGGGGGTAGGAGCTGGGGTGAAGCCTGCTGGAACCTGATATTCACTGAAAACATTTATGTCCTTAATCTTCTTACAGCTCATCTCCTCAGTCCTGGTCACACTGAGCTCATTCAGATCCTCATCTCCCCAATTATGCACCAGCATATTCCTAATTATGGAGCCCAGCTGGCTTCCGATTTCCATCTCTCCCAGACTGAAGCCAGGGTCAGGGTTTCCAGGCAGCAGCCTCTGCATTTCAAAGGAAAGATGCCTTAGAGACGAACTAATAAAACTGGTAAAAGTGCAAATGTAGAGTGTTTGTATCTGAAACACCTTTCCAGAAGTCATTCACGTTGCAAGCAGCTCAAACTGGGCTCGGTCGAGTATTTAATAACGGTTGAAGCAACATGCAAAATTCTCCCTGTCTGCAAGCATTAACTAAGACTCTTCCCTCCTGCGGTTCTCTCTTTTATACAGGAATGTGTTTAAGATTCATAGCAGAGTTTTCAGTTATAATATTGGAAAAGTGAAAAGTTAGCTTGTCATGAGAAGCTTCATTACGGGAATTTCAGTTTTTGATCTTTCTGCTTTGTGGAACTGTCTAGGTTTAGTCCCATTTCCCTGACGGGGCCCCTGTCCTTTCAACAGTGGCATGATGGGTAGAGATTGAGGAGACGCAGCTTCCCCAGCAGGGGATTCTGCTGAGAGAGAACAAAGCACTTACCAGAAGCCTCTGTCAGGTGGCCAGGGCTGTAGCTCAGTGGCGGAGGACATGCACCAGGTGGCAGAGGTACCAGGTTTGATCCCTGCCATCTCCAGCAAGGGCTGGGGGAAACTGCCATCCGAAAGCCTGGAGGAGAGCTGCTACCCTGCCCATCAGTACAGTGGTACCTCGGGTTACAGACGCTTCAGGTTACAGACTCCGCTAACCCAGAAATAGTACCTCAGGTTAAGAACTTTGCTTCAGGGTGAGAACAGAAATTGTGTGGTGGCAGTGGGAAGCCCCATTAGCTAAAGTGGTGCTTCAGGTTAAGAACAGTTTCAGGTTAAGAACAGACCTCCGGAACGAATTAAGTACTTAACCCGAGGTACCCCTGTATAGGCATTGCTGAGCTGGATGGAACAAGGGTTTGACTCATTGCAAGGCAGGTCCTGTGTCCCTAGCCTTTATCTCTGAGGTAGGCTTACAATCTCAGAGGCGCTGTGTTGGGTTGAAATCACGACAGACGAGTGGTAGGTGTCATATGAGAGGCGTCTGCCGGGGCAAGCCCCGGGAACTCTCTTTTATTGAATATTACAAACATTGCCACAGGTGTGCTTGTGGCTGATTGGTTGATACAAACACAAAGCATCTTGTTGCTGATTGGTTAACATAGGTACAAGGCGGGAATTACATACAACCATTTATCACTGATAGATCAAAGGATGAGAAATGGAGCTGGAACTAGACAGGCATGAAACCTCCTAATTAAATTATAACTAAAGATTAATATTGAGAGAACATGAAGGAATACAACAATCACGTTCCGTAGATGTGGTCAGCAATGCATTAAGAACAGGTCAGGATACACTGTTTCATGAACTCAATGGGAACTGTTCAGAACATTCTCAGACTCATGTGCAGAGGCAAAAACTTCCCAGCGTGCAAGAGAAAAGAAGCAATAGTTCTCATAGTAAGACTTCACAGTTATGTGCAGTAAGAGAACTGCAGAAAGAGAACTTCCCTTCAGCGCTGACTCGTCCATCCCCTCCATAATCTAACAGCCGAGCTCACATCAGCATCAGGTGAGGTGACAAAATGTGGCCGGACTGCCTAGTGCAAGATTTGGATCCCTGGACACACCAAGCTAGCATCTCAAGGAGAATGCTACCACCTACAATCAGGCATAGCACGGTGGGGTGCCGTGGGTGCTGTGGCCCCGGGTGCAATTTTGAGAGGGGGCCCAAACAGGCACCCCCACAGCAGGCTCCTTCCCCGGAGCCTGGCTCTGCGCCTTGGCTGCAGCGCTTGTGCCTGTTGCAGTTCCGCCCCCCAGCTCCGGCCTGACCTGGGGAGCAGAGCAGGCCGGCGGGTGGCAGTGGAGATACCTTGCGTACACAGGCTCCAGGTTGCCCCCAAGATTGGGGGAGGCCAGTGCACATCATGCAAAGTCACACACTTCTCCTGAAGCCATGCAAGCTGGTGATGCTAGCTGCAGTGAGGCCCGACGGGGTCCGCTGCAACCACGGGAAGGCCTGACAGGACCTGCCATAGGCCATGGATTATTGAGGGCACTTGGTCCCCTCCTTACAGGGCTGATACAACTTAACAGCTTGTGATTTCAAGGTTCCCAGGAACAGTATCTTTCAGTCATCAAGCGCCTGTGGGAAAAGTTAGGCTTCTGAATTCCTCCAGAATGTAAATAGTGAGAAGGACAGACGTATCTCACCAGGGAGGGCATTCCATAAATGAGGAGCAACCACCAAAAAGGCCCTGTCATGGGTGAAAGCCAAGAGGGTAGCACCCAATGGTGGCACCAACAACAAGGCCTACAATCTCTCCTGAAGTTTTAGGTACTATTTAAAAAACAACAACCACATTTTTTTATTAAAAATTTCTTGGTTTACAAAAGTATGTGCAGTGTCTCTTTTTTCAAGTTACATTTTCTACAGATTAGTTTCATTTGTTGAGACATTAGTGTTACATTAGGAAGAAAAGGGGGAAAGAGGTGGAGGGGGCCATGGTGAGTGGGGGTGGGGTCAGGTGGTAATGTTTCTACAGTATTTTACTTAATGTATTTGTGGGGTTTTGTGGATTCTCTTTACTATTCACTTGTGTTCCTTTGGTGGTGAGAGAGATTGGGGTTGGCCTCGGGTGTGGTTCCTTGTTTGTGATTGGCTGTGGTGAACTTTGTTTTCATGTGTCAGTGGGGTGGGTGGGTATTTTTGAATCAGGTTAGAAATATTGATTTGTATGCTGTTGGTGGATTCTTGTTGTTCCATAGCTGTCAACTTTCCCCTTTTTTAAAGGGAAAATCCTAATTGGAATAAGGGAATTTCTCTTTAAAAAAGGAAAACATTGACAGCTTTGTGTCGTTGACTTGTTGGGCTGTGTATGTGATAAAGGGGAGCCATACTAGGTGAAGGTATCTTTCTCCATTTGTCCCTGTGTCAGTTTCAGTTTATTGGTTAGTTTTTCTAATAAGGCTGTTTCCCATACTATTGGTCCATGCTTACTCCTGACAGGTCTCTCCAGTGTCTGGCTATGATGTTTCTGGCTGCTGAGAGTAGGTGGATTATGAGCTCTTTGTGATGTGAGTGGACATTATTATATTGAAAGATGTTTGGTAGGGCTAGTTCTGGGGTGACTTCTAGTACTGGCTTAGTTATTTTGCATATTTCTGGTATGATTGTTGGATTTTGGGACACTCCCACCACATGTGGAGGTATGTGCCTGTGGAGGTGCATCCTCTCCAGCATTTTGGTGAGGTTCCTGGGTGTATTATTATCGCTAGTTTCCTTGGTGTTGGGTACCATAATTTCAGGTACTATTTAAAGTTTTGTATGTGCTAACACCTTGAAGTGGGCCCTGGAAGCTCACTGGCAGCCAGCGCAGCACTTTCGGTGAAGCTACATGTAGTAGCCACATTTTGCAGTAGCTCATAGACTCACAGAATGATAGCTACTGCTTTCAGACCAACTTCAAGGGCAGCTCTACATAGAGTGCATTGCAGTAGTCCAGATGGGTGGTTACTAGAGCATGGGGAACTGAGGGCAGACTATCCCAATCTAGGAACGGAGCAAGTTTAGTGTGAGCCTGGATCTGACACACCCACACAAAAACTGATGGCTTAATTCAAACACGGCTCTGCCCCCCTTTTGCTATTTTCACTGCATTTTCAGTCTTACTTGCAAATAGCGAGCCAGAGGACATGCTTTGCAGAGTGGCATAACGTTTTGACAGGAGGCCTTGCCTGTCCCAACGTACCAATGTGTGTTTTCGGGCTATTCTAAAATTGTTTCCTGAAATCTCTGTTGTTTACACCAAAATTACCTTGATGTTATGGGAACAGTGGGATAGAGGTCCGTGATGCTGAGCCGAGTTTGATCTAAAATTAATTATGTCAGGTGGTGCCTGGAGCTGTCTCTCTCTCCCTCTTTCTCTCCCAGGTCTCCTCATCGCTCGGTGTATGTTGCTAAGGGGAAAGCATCAGAGAGAGCTGTGGGAGGCAGGAGGCGAAGATTATGCTCGCATTTCCCCTCCTCTTTATTAGCTTTGCGCAGCTTTGCCCCAGCTCCCTGCCCAGCAGCTCTCCTTGACCTTTCCAAAACTGGGCTGGCCCCAGCCTTGCAGATGGCAGCTCTGCAGTCAGGCCACATCTTCTGCCTTCAGTTCAGCTGATTTTCCTCAAAATGCAAACAACAAACGACAAGCCACGTAATAAGGATGCCTTTGTCGGCAGAGGAGAAGCAGCTGAGAATTCTAGCATGGAAATATGTTTCATTTTGAGAACGAGAGCCAAATGCATAAGCAGGAGGCCAATTAGAACAGCCTAAGCAGGTGCAGTCAAGGGGCTAGAAGTCTGCTTTTCTCAAGGACTTAAAAAATTGCCCGATGGGCCACTGTTCAAGACAAAACTAGAAAGAAATCATGAATGGTGTGGAGATAGTGGAGAGAGAGCTTTTGTCCCTCTCTCTCAATACTAGAACCTGGAGTCACAAAGCTGAATGGTGGGGGATTCAGGACAGAGGAAAGGAAATACTTTTTCACACAGTGCATAGTTTAGCTATAGCATTTGATCCCGTAAGATGGAGTAAACTTGGGTGGCGGGTCTAAAAGACAATCCAACAAATTCTGAGAGGCTGAAGTTATCAGTGCTGGTCAGTATCAGAAGCAGTATGCCGTTGAATGCCACACAAGCCGAAGAGGGCAGCGCCAGATTAAGGGTGGTTGCCACCTTTGGTTGGGCAAAATAAAGGGCAGGGCAGGCAAAATATGGGACAGGTCGGGGGGGATGGGGGGAATTTTATGCCCCCTTTGTGCACACAAAAAGAAATTTCTCTCCATGGTACCGGAGCAAGCCTATGCTGCTGCAAACCCCTTGAAAGTGAGAATTTGTTGTATTGATTACTAAATTGTTTATAGCAATTTTGTTAGCTTTGATTATTCACTTTGGCAATGAACTAGATTATTGAGGCATACTGTTTTATTTGTATTAGCTGCAGAAAAAAAACACATACACACAC